GATTTGAGAAATAATTGGTATTACCAAATTTATTCAGCTCCATACCTACCCTTCCCTCCCTGAGTCAGTGACTGAAGGGAACACATTTAAAAATACTGTGGTAACTTTAAATACCTTTCCTTTCCCTGCTGAGGAGTGTGGCTGCTGTGGTGTGACGTATTTAGTATTTTAAATGGTACTATTTGGCAGAACTCAAAGAGGGAAGAGAAGGTATTTAAACTTGCCTTCCCTTGCTGAGGCAGTGTGACTCAGAGAGGGAAGGGAAGGTATTTAAACTTTAAATACCTTCCTCCCTAAGTCACACCACAGCAGTGGCATGCCTCAGTGAAGGAAGGGAAGGCTTTAAATGCCTTTTCTTCACTCTCTGATGTGTGCCACCACTGTGGCCCGTCTCAGAGAGGGAAGGGAAGGCATGCCCATGGCTTGGCTTGGCAAAAGCCATTTGAAGGGAATTTCCCCTTTAAATGGTTTTTGCAAGGCCAAGCCATGTACGAAAAACCCGGAAGAGGTGCGAGTTCACCTGGAAAGTTGGTGAACTTGTGCCGCTTCAGCTAAACCCAAATAAAAGCTGAATAATATTGGCTTTTATTCAGGCTCAGCTAGATTGGTAGCTGAATCAGATTAGAAAATCTGATTCAGCTGAACAAATACCCCAAAATACCTTAACAGTATTTTTCGGGTATTTATTTGCTCAGTATATACTGAGCACACACCCCTACTTTAAATTAAGAACAAAAAAGTACCAGCTGGGCTGCCTAGGGAAATGGTGAGCTCCCCTCACTGGCAGTCTTCAAGCAGAGGCTGAATGAACACTTGTCAGGGATATTTTAGTCTGATCCTGCATTGAACAAGGGGTTGGACTAGAGGGTCTATATGACCCCTTCCAACACTATGATTCAGTGAAGTCACTAGCAGATTAATTCTTACATATTTTCCCCTTGAAACTCATAGTGCTCAACAACACTTCACTTCTACAATTACATATCAAAACATTGAATGCAATTAACAATGACTGAACTCCTATCTCTCAACTCCTAGGCAATGACAGGGCTTGATGGAAGCTCACATCCCTTCCAACTACTCACATTCTTTCAGTAATTTACTTGGTGGACTGTATTTATTTACTACATTTATACCCCACCTTTCTCCCCAATGGGAACCCAAAGTTGCTTAAATCATTCTCCTCTCTTTTATTTTATCCTCACAATACCCCTGTGAAGTAAGTTAGGTTGAGAGTGTGTGAGTGGCCCAAGATCACCCAGCCAGCTTCCATGCAGAATGGGGATTTGAACCACGGTCCCCAAGATCCTAGTCTGATGCTCTAAGGACTATACCACACTTGTTCTTATTATTACAAGTGATGTAGTAAAGCTTTATACCTAAAGCACTTCAGCCGTGCCTTTGAACAAGGATCCAGTGGGGAATTTCGTTTTTGGTTGGGTCAATGCTTGGTAATACTTGCTTAGTTTCCTTTTGACTCATAAGACTGTAGTGAATTTCTATATTTTATATACTTTATAGATAAGACTGTATTTCAGCTACAATTCTGCATGGCACTCATTGTATGTTAGAAATCTTTTTAGGCATTATTTATGATATACTTAAAAATAATCAAATCAAGCCATATTGAGTATAAAATTAATTATTCATTTCTTGGTAGAAGCTTACAGTTCAGATTCAAACTAAATTTCTCTTCTATACCTCGTGAAATAATGTATTCCACATAGTCAGATTACCTCATATTCCAGTTACATACCTTAAAAAAACACCCACAGTGACCTCATTATAAAAATATGTGATTTCAATTTTTATCCATCAAGCCAAATAAGGAGTTAAGATGTTTACCTAACATTATGCGATATTTAAAAAACTCAGTTTTATATACTTAAAATAGGCCTGCACAAACCTGTAAATTTTTAGTTCTTTCATAGTTAACCTATTGTCCAAATGTTGAGTTCAGCTTTTCCAGTTTTTAAAAACTATTTACACCTATCATTTTGTAAACTTTTCCCAGCCATAAGAAGGTTGGTATTACCAAGCATTCTCTTTTAACAATTTACAGCCACTAAAGAAAACCCAGCTGACATTCTGAACAAGAAATTGGAGGCTGGTTGAAAATCAGAATGTAGAGAAAAGAAAAATGGGTAGTCTTCAGAGTGCAGGGAAATGAATCTTAATTAGGCACATTAAATTCACTATAGTACTGGTACTGGTTATTTAGATCTGCAGATAAAATACATTTTTCTATACAACTTTGATGTAAAAATATTTTGCACAATTCGGTGAACTAATTTTTCATTGTAAACATACTGAGATTTTATGTTTCTGGTATACTTTAAATATGCAATTTGTTGTATCCTGTGTCACAACAAATGCATTAAGTAGGCTCATAGCATTCTAAAAAGAAAATGCAAATGAGGCAGCAGTTATCCCAAGATTATTACATAATATTTAAATAGAGGAGGCCATAATATTTATACTGGGAACTAGTCAATTTCTTTGCTAATCATCTAGGGTTAGGTAGTATCACAAAAATTGTAGATGACAGCAAATTATTTAGAGAAAAGAAAATCCTAAATGGTTTGGGATATGCTTTTCTTTAAAGTTGAATACCTTTCATTCCTGTAGCTTCAACCACATAGCACTCATCATTTTACAACCATTAAGGAAATATCAACTAGCCATTCCAAGTCATCAAAATAATAAAGGAATAATCAGCAAATACAGATGCAAGATACAAAAACAGCTACTTAATTCCAACGTAGGCAACAATATTGATGACTTAATTGCTCCCCCTATCAGTCTTCAAATTGATCCAGCAACTATACAAAATTCTTCTGCAACCCTAACTTACAGTCTCCAATGTAGTCCAACTATTTGTTGGCAGAAGGATCAGCTTTCTTAAACAGTTCTGCCATGCATTCATTTACTCCTAACACTGATGATAAGTATCTCACCAATAGTAAACCACCAAATGATATTAGTAATGCCAGGTACCAGAGATAGAAACTGTATAAATTACAGCAGCTGGTAAGCTCCGAGTTGGTGTATCCTCACTACAAGGCCCCATGGGCTGGGAGTGGGGTGCAGAGGAAACCCCACATAGGCAGGCTGAAGAGGCAGCAGTGCAGCACTTGGGCAGATGTATCCACGATGCCTGACATCTGCAGATGAGGTTGTTCTGCCATGCTGAAGCCAAAATAGAGTGGCTCTGCCCACTCCCCCCCAAACACTCCCTCCCTTGCACCAGTTGCTCGTGGGCTGGTTCTGGTCCCCAGGCCTTATGTTTGACACCCCTGCTTTAAGGTATTTAGAATATTATATACAGGGGTCTTGTTGTAGAAAAAGAGCTGCCGGAGCTCATTAGCATAACTCATTAGCATAACTTATTTGCATATGCCACGCCCCCTGACATCACCGGAAGTGACAGAAGGCCACACCCCCTGACATCACCGGAAGTGTGTCAGAATATATATATATACACACACACACACACACACACACACACACATACACATGCATACACACACACAATTTTCAAAGGACTCAAAGCAGATAACAAGAAATACTATGGTGAACAATATGTGATTGAGAGTTCAATGTTAGTCAAAAACTTGTATTCACTTTAGCTAGTAGAAATTGATCCACACTGGTTGCCTTATACAGAGGGACTGATCTGTGCTGGGATAAGATTTTTATCTCATACCCTAACAGGATTAAAACATAAATTTGAAGGAAGTAATAATGCACTCCTGAACAGAGTCATACCCTTCTAAATTCACTGAAGTCAATGGTTCAGAAGGATGTAACTTACTTAGCACTGCACCATCAGTTTTGTAAGGAAGTAGGACATGCCCAAGCCTATTCTAGTTTCTTCTACCAGACTAAAGATGTATCTACATGAAAACAAAGGTTTTTTTGTTTTTGATTTTTAATTACTGCCCTCTGATTGATGTGGTAGATTATTCAGGTGACTTAAAAGTCTTCCCCGTCCTATGCCCCACATGAATAAAAGTGGAGCTCATTAAATATCTAAAAGAGGAATGCTTTGATCTCATATCACTCATCCAACAAATAGCCAGACCAGCCTAGTTCACATTACATATTTTCATTTTTGCTGGTATACTTTATTAGGGTCAGTGATTCTTTTTGCTTTTCCAAGGGTGACTGTAACTTCTGAAAGGAAATTTCTGTTGCAGTTAATACATTGCTTTGGGGAGGGGTTACCCAAAGTTATTGAGTTATCCTTTAACATTTATTTTGCTCATGATTAATTATTTCTATTCCATTCTATGATCAGAGTGACATCATCTATTTCAACATCTGTAGATAATAAAGGCAGACCCTTTAAAATCTTCTTAACATGAAATGTTTCTGAAGCCACATCAGCCATCTGACTCAATTCTGCAATCAAGGCTATTCATTTAAAATATTCACACATCATCTTCTACAAACAAAGATGCCAGTGATGACAAATTATTGACTATGTTTTCACGAGCTAGCACTATTGAATTATTTTCATCTAAATGTGTTATTACAAAGTAGCCACCACTGACTATTTTTTAAAGTAAAACTATTCCACGAAAGAACTGTACTTCTCCACCAAACCCAAAGCCAGTAAGTTTCTAAGCAAATGCTATCTACCTGGGCCATTAGTGCAGTTCCAGTCCCCACATCTGGTCCAATGGCAGACTGAAATGGATCCAGAAACTCAGTTTAACCCTGGAGGTGGGCAGCATTCACTCTGCTATCCACTTGTGCATTACATTAGAGACTGGTCAATTGACTTCTTCATAAATTATTTCACCATAGCTTCTGTCAGCAGCAACCATGACAGTCTACTTGCCTTTCAAAATCAAGTAGAGTAACCAACTATTGGAAACCAATTAATATTTGTGCTGAGCATTCACAGCTGAGCTTAGTGTATTTCCCCCCCAGGATGAAACAGCTTTGAAAACTTGAACATTTATTTTTAACAGAAAATTAAAGAATTCTCTTACCTTTGCAAACTGTGCATTTACCCATTTTGTGAATGTTTTCTTTTGAACATCTTCCCTTTCATCTGCAAAGACAACATAAATTTTTCAGTTAATGCTATGCATTTGCTATTTTCTTCATGAAAATATTACATTCACCATTTCATTGACTATTGTTTCCTTACAAAAATATTCTGAAATGTTTAAAGATGAATAGGGTGCTTAGCTCAAAAACTGTTAATACTGCTATTCTCTTGAATTCTTTCCCACATTTTAGAGACCACTGCTTCAACGCAAGACTCTTTTCTAATCTATTAAAGTGTGAATGTACATGCAGTCTGACTTGTCATGCTTATGAGCAGTTTCAACCTATGAACATTCATTTGTTTTAAGTGCTATTATATTATTCCTGTTAGAAAAGGCTTTGAAATTCAATGCAAATCCCCCAATTTGACATATATTTTTTTATTCTCACTTGTTGAATTTTGTATTGTTCTGGAAACTTGCACCCTTTATTACACTATTTTCCTGCTTTTCCAGCTGTGACTGATATGGATGATATAATTTAATTTGCATTTAATCTGTAGACTATGAATCTAGCCCTGACCTTTGTCTTGAATGTGCCAAACATAGTTTTATGTGTGAGATTAAGCAGTTTGTGCCTACTCAGAAAACATACAGATTGGAGCCCTGAGACGAAGCATTGGATATTCTGCTCTAAATAGGTCAATTATTCATAAAACAGACAAAACTTTGGTTTGGAAATATAAAAGTCAATCTTAGAAAGTTTACAGCAGTGAATTGGTTTTGTCAAAAGCTAGCAGTCATTCTGAATCGTAAGGTTTTTTGGGGGTTTTTTTTGGGGGGTTGGGTTTTTTTGGCAACTGGGATTGGAAACAAATTAAATATACACAATACTAGAGTTGCCAGGTCTGGGTCACAAAATATCAGGGGTCTTTGGAGGTGGAGCCAGGCACAAGAGCCCTGTGATTCATTTCCAGGTCCCCCCACATCCAGAAGGTTCCTGCGATTCCATGGCAGGAGATTGTGCTTCTAACACAGTAGTTTCTCTCAACTCATTCTCCACCCAAGCCATGCACACTGGTACTATTTAGGGTTGCCAGGTGAGGCTAACAGGCCAGTGGAGAACTTTCCAGGAGTCTCTGGGAGATGGGAGGGAAGAAGCATGATTGAACTCCAAAGGGAGTTGTGGCTGTCACATTTAAAGGGAAGGCATTCCTTTTAAATGCCTTCTCTCCATTGGAAATAATGGAGGATGGGGTCACCTTCTTTTGGGGCTCATAGAATTGGACCCCCCTGGTCAAACTTTTTGAAATTTGGGGTTCTTTTGAGGAAAGGCACCAGATGCTATGCTGAAAATTCGGTGCCTCTACCTCAAAAAACAGCCCCCTAGAGCCCCAGATACCCAGAGATTGATTCCCCATTATACTCTGTGGGGACTGGTCTCCATATGGTATAAGGGAGGGCTGAGCAGACTCCCCCCTCCCGCTTTCTGATAACCCTGAAGCAGGAGGAGGGCCTCTGCACCAGGGGATCCCCTGCCCCCAACTAGCGATTGGCAACCCTACACAATACATATTCTCTTATATTTTTCTAGATGTACTTTACTCATTTAATAACTAGAATGCATTATACATAGTTTAGTTATATATAATTTCACTGTTGGATAAACGTTTAAGGTTGCCAGGCCTCCCACTATGGTTGGAGCCCTCACACTTGGCAGCTTCAGTTGCTCATCACCACTCATTAGAATAGCAAGGGGAAGGGGGGGGGATAGGCATAGCACCAATGTCATGATATCACTTGCAGTGCAAACCCAGAAGTGACATCATTGCATTGGTGCACCTCTCTAGCATCCCCCCCCAAAAAAAAAATTGGTAAAAGCTCAGTACTGGCAACTGGTGGGAGTTCTAGAGGGTGGCAACATGCAAATAAGCATGTCTGTGCCATAAGTGAACCATCTATATGGCACTTTAATATATCGTATTGTGGTATTAGATGTGTCCACTTAGGACATAATGGGAGGAACAAACTGTATGTATGTAAAGCAAGGTATAAAGCTGGGATCTCTGTTAAATTGTTCAAGCAGTCTTCACCCACAAATTTAAATCACTAGTCACTATGACCAAGTAAGGCAATGAACAGTTAGGTAAAAACTGTAGCTTCCATGTTGTTGTTTTTCAGTATAAGAGGAAATGGGCTAGGTTCACTAACAGCTAAACCAGAGACCTGCCAGTTGCATAATGAATGCAAGCATCTCACACAAGATTTATCCTGCGTAAAAAAACCCCTGCATCTTCTCACTGTAGATGATAATTGAAAGAAATTAAATGTCTTATATTCTATGATAAAATGAAATTTACATCATATTTTCTGAAATTATATGCACATTTCTACATAAAAGCCGATGCTTATCAGTACTCATACTAAATTATGAAACTGTGAAATTAATAACCTTTGGAATCTATCCCAGGTAATAAATTTTAGAATTATCTTAAATTTGAGTGAGACTTTAAAATAATGTTTAGTAGTAAGATAAAAACATGAAATAAAACTCACTGACAATCCTTTAAAATAATTTTAAATAATATATTTACTTGTATCATAAATTTAATATGTACTTACAGAATGAGCAATGTAAAATCGGAGAGAAGGCACAGTGTTAGTTATGCACGTACAGGATAACTACTCACTACTTCAAATGAGAATCTAACCACTGATACTCTATCAAAACTTATAAAAAGCCCAAGTAGCTTCCTAACTAGAGATTAATGCACTCAAGTCATACTAAAAAGCAATCAAACAAAATAAGAAACTGCTGGGTGGTTTTTTCCACATGCATTCAACTTGACATGACAAGAGTAGCAACATCAATATTCCTGTGATTTTTTGTCCCCTCACTCTCCACTAACTTTGAAAACTTCTGTATCCTCTTACCTTTAGTAAATATTCAATCTGATTTTAGGGAACCGAGAAAACATTATCACTGATCACATCTCATTTAAAATGTCTCTTTTGTTGCACCTGATGCCAGCAGTAAATTGTTAGGTTATTCTATCTATATTATATTGTTGATTTTATTTCACTGTCGATTTTTTTACTGGATTGCTCTTCAAAAACCAAAGAAACCAGATTCTTTCTATCATCCATCTATCTATCTATCTATCTATCTATCTATCTATCTATCTATCTATCTATCTATCTATCTATCTATCTATCTAATCTATCCATCCATCCATCCATCCATCCATCTATGGCTCAAGGAGACTTACAATTATAAATTAATATTATCTATAATAAAATAAAGCCTCATGAAATCCTTCCCCCCCAAAATGCCTATCAAGCCTGCCAAAATACCTTGCAAATGAAAAAGTGTTACATATAAACATATAACAAACATATAAGGACTACACCCTCCTCACCTCCTGAGAGAACAGGTTCCATAACAACTGGAACCCCTACTGAAGGGAATGTCCTCGTGTAGGTGTCATGCAGGCAACATTAAATGGGAGGCAGCCAGAAGGTGGCAGCCAGATGTTCATAATGGGGGAAATGGTCCCATGGATATGTGGGTCCTAGACCATGAAAAGATTTAAAAGTCATAAGCAGTACCTTGAATTAAACTTGGAATTAAACTGGCAGCCAATGTAGCTGTTTTAAAACAGGCAAGATATATTACTCTCAGCCTAGTTTCATCAAGAGTAGCCCTATACACTGTGTGTTGCATTAGCCCAACCATAAGGTTACAAAGCATAGGCTGGAGTGGCCAGGATGGCTAAGGCGGTTTGCCATGATATAGTAGCATTATCTTTGTGGATTTAAAGATCACAATCAGATAGCAATATCTGCATTCCATGCCCCAGTTGTCAGTACCCCATGTTGCCCCACTTTGGAAGCGAAGTAATCACGCACTGGGGAAAGTCCAGTGTTTATGGATACCAGCACTTCCACTCCACTTTCCTGGATGTCTGAACTCTCCTGCTGTGAAAAGAACCTGAAAGGGAAGTCTGAACGTACAGATCCATTTCAACCACTTTTTTTTTGGAGTTGCTGCCTATATGCACATGCATCTGCCTGCATTAATTAATTAATTAATTTATTATTTTAGAATTCTATCCCACCTTGCTCCATGGTTGAGGCACTACAGTAATGTGAATGCCTGCCCACCAGAGAAATGTGTGGGTAAACTGCCCCAGGGTAAAAGGCTCCCAGCCAGAGGGCTTTTGAGGGGCGACCTCTTCGATGGCGCAATGCTGGAGAATTGAGGCGCTCCTCCACCCCGAAGGTCCTGTCGCTGAGTGACCGTATGGTACGAGTGCTGCTGACTGGGACAAGCGTTGGAGATCAGGCGAAAAAAATGATGTCGAGCAAGGCCGGCTGGCCAACAATGAACTGTGAATTGGGTTGAAGTGAGCATGAAGATTTATAAAGAAAGCTGCCCCCTTAAAGAGCGACGGTAAAGCTAGCGGGGGAGGGGTCCCTCCCAAACGCATAGATGAAACACGAACGGAAAGAGGGGGGAGCGGAAAAATAAGTGATTAAATCTGTTTTAAGAGACTTACCAGAGCACAGATAAGTGTTTGGGCAAATATCAGAAACTTTAGCAACTTTTTAAAAAGTAAACAAATCCAAAAATATGGCGGGGAAGAAATCGAAGAAAGAAAAGCTGTTGAAACCAAAACTAGTGGGCAGTCCTCGAACAGAGGAGACTGCTGAGCTCTCAAAATTGCTGGCTGATTCCTTGCGCCATCTGCTGGATGAAATGACTAGTATTAAGCAACAACTGTCAACAATTGGGGAGAGTTTGGCATCACAGCAGTTACATATTGACTCAATCTTTAAAAGCAATGGAGCAAATGGGAGAGAAGGTTAAGGAAATGGACGCCAATACTAAAAAAGTTAACAAAAAGGTGCAAAAGCTGGAAATGAAGCAAGCTATGGAAGAGTCAAAACTTTTACAGCTACAAATGGAGAAAACAAATTTGGTCCTACAGTTTCAAGGGGTCCTGGAAATTAGAGGAGAGAATCTGAAGCAACGGCTGAGTGAAGCAATAGCCCCAATGAC